AAAAAAAATTTCAAAAAATGTTTCAGAAAAAAAAATTCAAATGTTTTTTCAAAATGTTTGATTCTATATTTTTAGAAAAAACAAATGTTAGAAAGAAATTTTCAAAAAATATTTTCAAAAATGTCTTAAAAAAAATAAAAAAAACCCCATTTTTTTTCTAAAACTGTTTCCAATAAATGTTTTTAAAAAAATAATTTAATTTTCAAATTATTTTTCAAAATTATTTTTGAAAAACACTATTTATACAAAAAACCTTTTTGGAAATTTTTTTCAAAAAAAGTTTATAAAATAAAATTTCAAAAAAAGTTCTGTAAATGCCCTCATTATATAGGAAACATGCAAGAAAATAAATTTGCATATATTATTTTGAAAAAAATTGACTATTTTATTGGACTATTATATTTTCCTTTCCTTCAATGGCAGTATTCGTGATTTAAATTTTGAACAGGAAAGAGTCAAGGCAGAACTCTGTAAAGATATATTTTATTGACTATTGGAATGACAACCATATTTTATGATTTTCATTAATTTCTCCAAACAAACAGATGAGTTATTCTTCAGCATCTTTTCCCTGCAAAAAATAAAGATAATCAATTACAGAAAACAGCAAAAACAACTTGTAACATGGATAAATGTCACGTGGCTGGTACTTACTTTTGCAAAGTCCCGACTTTTGACCCTCATCTTGTTGACCTGGGACTCGGCGATGTCAGCTCTCTCCTGGGCCTCCTCCATCTCATGCTGCACCTTCCTGTACCTGGACAGGTGAGTGTTGGCCTGCTCCTCCTGCAGAATAAAAAGATTTAAGAAATAAACAAGAAAAATATTTTTGTATTATTGTAAATGTCAATTTTTAAATAAGGAATAATTGTGGCAGCAGGGCAGGGTAACTCACAGCCTCCTCAGACTGTCTCTTGTAGGCCTTCACTTTCAACTGCAACTTATCCACCAGATCCTGGAGTCTGTTGATGTTCTTCTTGTCTTCCTCGGTCTACGGTGCAGAGTGATGGAAATGCAAATAAATTATAAACATGCATCAACATCTTGTAAATTATTAACTAATGACAACAGCACTGGCCTGGTATGTGAGCTCCTTCACTCTTCTCTCGTACTTCCTCACTCCTTTCACAGCCTCTGCTCCTCGTCTCTGCTCAGACTCCACCTCACTCTCAAGCTCACGCACCTGTAATTTAAGAAAACTGCTGTTATGGCCAAAGACGAAAACACGAAACAACAAAGAAGAAAAAAAACCCAATTCATCTTTACCCTGGCCTCCAGTTTCTGGAGCTGCTTCTTGCCGCCCTTCATGGCCAGATTCTCAGCTTCATCAAGGCGGTGCTGCAGGTCCTTCACCGTCACCTCCATGTTCTTCTTCATCCTCTCCAAGTGAGCGCTGGTGTCCTGCTCCTTCTTCAGCTCCTCAGCCATCATGGCAGCCTGAGACACAACCACTGTGAGTATTTGGATTGCTTTTAGGAACTGTCTCCAAGTTAATGTCGACTCACATCAGTGATGGCCTTCTTGGCCTTTTATTCAGCGTTTCTTGCTTCCTGAACCGCATCTTCTACTTCTCCTTGAATTTGGACCAGGTCGGTCTCCAACTTCTTCTTGGTGTTGATAAGGCTGGTGTTCTATTGTTTGATGATAAACAATTAGACTTTTGTGTTTTTCTGTCAAAAACTCAACAGTTTTGGGAACTCCATGAAGTCACCTGAGAGTGCAGCAGTCCCACACGCTCACTGGCATCAATCAGCTCCTGCTCGGCCACCTTGCGGCCTCTCTCCGTCTGCTCCAGTGCGACTCTCAGCTCTTCAATCTCGGCCACCATCAGGTTGTTCCTGCGCTCCACCATGGCCACCTGCTCCTTCATGTCTTCCTGGCTTCTTATGGCTTCGTCCAGGTGCAGCTGAGCGTCCTGAGGAGAAAATGAAACACATTCGTGACGTGGTCTTAAAGTAGTGAACTCCATCTGACCTGAAGATATATTCCATATCTTTCCGTACCTTCAGCTGTCCTTGAACATTTCTCAGCTGTTTCTGAGCCTCAGCGGCCTGGCGGTTGGCGTGGCTCAGCTGAATCTCCATCTCGTTCAGGTCTCCCTCCATCTTCTTCTTGACTCTCATGGCGTCGTTCCTGCTCCTCACCTCGGCGTCTAATGTGCTCTGCATGGACTCGATCACCCTCTGGCTGTTCCTCTTGATCTGCTCCATCTCCTCGTCCTTCTCTGCGAGTTTCCTCTCGACCTCACTCTTCACCTGAGTCAGCTCCAGTTGAACACGGAGAATCTTGGACTCCTCGTGCTCCAGAGTAGCCTGTTAACAAGTTTGTTCTTAAAGCGTTGAAGTCAAAACCTTCTAAACTTTGTTGGGGTGAAACAAAAACCAGACGACGTCGTTTCACCTCTGCCTCCTCCAGAGCCGTCTGGATCTCTGATTTCTCCAGCTCCACAGTCTTCTTTCCCTTATCCAGCTCGTGAATCGTCTTACCGGTTTCACCCAGCTGCTCACTCAGGTCTGAGATCTCCTCTGTTGGTATGTCAGTACACATATTTAATACAACACCAAATGCCAAACACAGTAGGTGACACAAAGTGTCCAGACGTTTGTGTCAGAATCAAATATCTTTTGTAAAACCGTCTCACGTTGCAGGTTCTTGTTCTCCCTCTTCAGAGTCTCCAGATGATCCAGAGATTCTTCATACGAGTTTTTCATTTTGAACAACTCTGTGCTCATCGAGCGTGCGTCCTTCTGGGCTCCTTCTAACTCGGCCTGGCTTTCTTCATACTTTTGCTTCCATTCAGCCAGAACCTGAGAGCACGAGAAAAAAACATAAACTTTTTCTCACCTATTCATATCTTGCAAATGTAGTAAAATGCATTCATTAATATTATTTGTACCTTGTCAAAGTTCCTCTGCTTCTTGTCCAGGTTGGCAGCCAGAGCGTTAGCTCTCTCCACGTCGATCATCAGATCCTCCACTTCACCCTGCAGCCTCTGCTTGGTCTTTTCCAGTGAAGCACATTTTGCATTCACAGCCTCGATGGCTTCTTCTGCGTCCTGGAGACGCTGAGCCAACTTTTTCCTGGTAAGGACCAAGAATGTAGGTTAATAACAGGTGAAAAATGAAATGCACGTGTGACTGTTTTCAGTTTCTGGCCTCCTCCATTACTTGGCCTCCTCCAGCTCCTCAGTGCGCTGAATGGCATCAGTCTCATATTTGGTTCTCCACTGCGCCACCTCGCTGTTGGCCTTGGACAGAGCTCTCTGCAGCTCAGCCTTGGCCTCCTGCTCCTCCTCAAACTGCTCCCTGAGGAGGTCACAGTCATGGCGGGACGACTGAA